GCCCGCAGTGCCAGGGCTTGCCCTGCTCACGCTGCTGCACTACGCGGGCTCCTCCTGCCAGCTTCTCTAGCGAAAGGCTTGCTGTTTATTAGCCTCCACCCCTCACACACACTGGCGGTGCTAACGGGCTCTGGAGACCGCCACATCTCCACTGTTGTTGTTATCACTTCTGCTGTTCATACTGAATGCCTCAGGAAGTCTCCATGGGACATGTTCAGCCCTGGTGGCTGGTGTGAGGAGGGTGTGACATTAGGGTCTTCCACTTCTTGAATTTTGTAAAGTCACAGGGCAAAGCTTCCTACTTCCTCACGATAATTTCTTATTTTAAAGTCTCTTAGGAGATACTTTCCTAGTGACATTTATTATATAACATTCAAAAACTGATTCTTAATATTTACTTACTCTAATAAACAAGCAGACAATAACTTATCTGTAACTATTTGCTTAAAAATGCTTTAATGTTCATTTATATTCTCTTTAAATGGTTCCATGTCCTCTGGAATCTCAGAGGATAGTCTTTTTAGTGAGATCATAAATGTATCGCACTGTGTATATTCTTAAGAAAATAATATCACCTTTTAAAAGGTACTCAAATAGAAAACTTCCACACACATACAGAGAATGTAGAAAAAGATTTTTAAGCAGGTATTCATGATACTGAAACTTGCTGGCCAGTTTTTTAATGGCAGCAGAGATATGTGCCGCTGTGAAGATACTATAACGTGTCTGGAAAGTGGACTCCCAAGAGCAAGTGGACCTGAGCTGACTCCTCAGCGTGAGCAGACTCCAGGCACCCTCCTGACCGTGCCATAGGATTCCCTATTCTTAGAGAATTTACTTTAGAAAACTATGAATTCTACATTCTTTTGTCTCTGTGAGATATAAACCTTTTCAATGACTTCTCACCAATTTATCCCCCAGGAATGTCCTTCCCAAGGACCAGGACCCTTTCTTCTTCTTCTGGCTGCAGCTCTCAAGGCAGGTGCCCGTCTGAGGTGGCACCCTGTGTCCCAGGGCCTGTACATGACTGGAGCAGCACTCATGGATGCCAGTCAGCAGACAGAGGCCACTTGGAAATGGCAAACAAACCTGGTGAGTTCCATCCCCCGCCCAGCCTTTGCCTGGCCCTTCGGCAGTTTTCCACTTGCTTGACCAGGAACCTAGTCTTCCCCTCCCGGTTTTAAAGTGGCTGAGTCCAGTCTCCTCACTAGGGCAGCAGTTTTGAATAAAATCTTCTTTGCTCATTGAACCATAAGCCGTGCAACAGGTACTTTGACACTATAATCCCAGTACCGAGATGACTAAATTACAGTACTCACAGGCTTACCATCTTGACCAGGTCGTCCAGGGTGGCCAGGAGCCCCAGGGAGTCCAGGATCACCCTGGACAGCAAAAAGAAAAACCATTTCTTAGTGTAAAGAAACCAGCCATACTGGTACAGCTTAGCTCTAAGTGGCTCAAAGCCAAGTCCATTATTTAAAGCTTTTTTGCATATTTAAAAATAAACACATAAGTCCCAAAATCTACAGGAAAATTATACTATATTTAAATGTTTACTTCTATAAATATATTTCTTATTATATGAAGCTTAATGATTTACTTCTGTGGGAACACAAGATATGACATTTTCTGGTGTAAAATGTCAATATTTACAGGATATATTTTTGGAATTTGAACCAGCTGTTAAGTGGTACAATAAACACAGTTTCCTGGATAGCAATATATGGGTCCTGGGTCTATGGATATAATTCTGTTCTAAATGTGCTACCTATTGGTAGCCAATAATGTAATCATTCATGTCATAAAATAATCACTCACAAGTGTGAGCTCACACATGGGACTAAGTTTAAAGCCATACAGTGGCTGTTACTTTCGTTCCTATACATTTGTCAATCTGTACCAAACTTATCATCATGCTAAATTTACAAAATGTTGGTATTTCATGAGATGAGGAATGGGGCCAAGTAACTCTCCCACAACCAACAGCACTTAGGTACAGGTAACACCTAAGAGACCAAGAAATCTCTTTTACCCTCTTCACCCTGAGATCTTCAAAGAGCACCATTCCAGAGCACCTAGCCAATGCTCAGTCTTCAGTCCCTGCAGAATTGGAGTGTGATGTTCAGTGGCTAGCACTGATCATTCAATGGTTGCTACCCAGGAGAGAAAGTAAGACGGCAGAAACTTTTTGAAAGGTGAAGGTATTTTATAATTTATTTCTACATGTAAGGCAGGGCTGGGCAAATAGCTCAGTGGCAGAATCCCTGCATGACAAGCTTATGGTGCTGGATTCTATCCCTGGTACTGCAATAAATAAATAAAATAAAATAAATGTAAGGTGAAGGTATTTCATAATCTGTTTCTAAATGTAAGGTGAAAGTATTTTATAATCTATTTCTAAATGTAAGGTAAAGGTATTTCATAATTTATATCTAAGAAATACTTGTGAAATAGTTTCAGCCAGGGAAGGTGGCACACACCTGTAATTCTAGCACTTAGGAAGCTGAGGCAGGAGGACTGCTGTTTGAGGCCAGCCTGAGCTAGTGAACTTATGACCAGCCTGACCTACATAGTGAGACTCGGTCTCCAAAGAAAAAGTGTTTCATATTCATTTATAGTTGAGTCTCTGAAATACAAGTGCAGGCTCTTGCTGAACTATGTGACATCTCTACCATCAATATCTATGAACTTCTGCAGAAAAGCAACTGCAGAAGTTAAATATCAATTATTCCTTGATATTTTCCTATCAAGGAATAATTCACAAAGAACCATGCTGATTTGCAGTACTTTCACAGAGCCAAATTTACTGATCAGAAAACTGTCTTGGACTTTAGGCTAGAAAGATGTGTTCCTGAAATATAACAGAAAAAGTGGAAAGAACTGAGTGAACTCTGCTCAGAAACCAATCGAGAAGGGAGGACAATCCACTCCCAGAGGCCTCTAGGGGGTTAAGCAAGAGGAAAGGCTGGAAAGATGACAAATGTCATTCTTTTGAAGACAAAGAGAAATAACTATAAATCCAGGGGGAAAATAGTTTCTAATTCTAATCCTAGGATTTAGCAACCTCTAGGGTCTCTAAGATTTAGGATTTCTGTTTTCTTAGTACAGTCTTTAAGACTGGACTCCCTGCCTTTCAACAATTACTGTACCATCTTTTATTTCTCTTGGGAAAAAGGCTTCCTCTCCTCCATAAGCACCAATATGGCAAAGCTCTCTGTCCCTGGAATCTCCTAGTCATGCTCCTTTGTCCTGGAACCTTCCACTGGTTTGCAATGGCAGCACCTATAGCATTAACTTTTCATTACTGCTGATAGTGTTTGTTTTTTTTTTCTTTTTTTTAAACTTTCCTTTTTTTATTTTTCCATAATTTTATTGAGAAACAAATAGCAATGAGAAAGTTTCAAACCAAATTGGTAGGACAGATTCAATACTTAACACATTGCATACATTCTTCCTAGTGGTTAATTACTGTACAAGATGCGGACATGATATCCTATCTACAAACATTATTAGAACAAATCCCTCTATTCATTAAGAGAATGTAATTATGTATCTATCCTAACCATTTTGAATACACAGATACAAAATGGACATTCATCTGTATCCCCTTTTTATGTTAAGTTCCACTATTTGAATACTATAGCTTTGTTAACTCAGCAAAATATTCTAAAAGAGTCCAGTAGTCCATAATAGTATTGGGTCTTCCGCTTGACTGGCAATGTCAGAAATTGTTGACCTGAGTCCCCTATAGCTCAACATAACACCATGGCTTTACTTCTTATACTCGTTTTTATACTTTTCTGCTGGATGGTTAAGACCAAGATAAAGGAAGACCTATGCAACAAGAATTGTAGCTTTTTGGGTCTGATAAGGTCAGTGAAATCTCCTCAGGATTTATCCTGAGATCCTGTACCTCAGGTTGTAGAACCTTTGTCAGTGTCAGCCATGTGGATGAGTCATGGCCATTGCTTGGCCAATGTGCTCTCTGTGAAAGCCTGAGAGAATGTTTTCTTTCCATGTGACTCTCCTTAGCCACATTCTACATCATTGATCACTTTCCTCTTTGGCCCCATAATCTCCTTGATCAGAAAATTTGGGACACTACTGAGTTACATGATGTTACAGTACAAGTTCTCATATGTCCTGAGACTTAATTGCCTTGGAAGGCTAGGGCCAAAATGTTGGCTTTCCTTGTGACCCTCCTTTTTCTCTAATTTTGGTCTGCAAACTTAGGTTGTTAACCATCCAGAAGACAAGTTTATTGTTATTACCATACAACCTAGGCTGTTAAGCTTAACCTCACTATCTGTGTGAATATCAAACATCTTAGGCATAACATGGAACAGGTATTTTTCATCAAGTATTGATATGCTGACCTTTAAGTCCCTACAGAATATGATGAAAAAACATTTAAAAATTAGAATATATTTTAAAAATAGGCATAAAGAATTACATACTTCTTATGTTTACACATAAATCAAAAAAATCTAACTATATACAACCTTGAAGCAGGACAGTCCCACAACATTCCTTTTCCTGTCTCTTGCCTTCATTCACCAACCCCTTCTTTTTGAACAATCATCTACCCAAGAGACAGTACAGCAGCAACTGGCATGTCATGACAAGCAGTCCATATTCAGAAGACCAGAATGACAGGCACTCCAAGCATGAAACTACTATTACAGATTAACATCTTCAGTGCAGTTGCTTAGTTCACAGGTATCAGTATATATACTTAGTCAGGGTGAGAATCTTTCCAATTAACTGCTAGATTCAAAAATCTTCTAGAGAGTCTCAGGATCATTGCCTTGCCCATCTTCTACATATAACTATATGGCTTGTCACTGTCATGTTTAATAGCTCTTCTCCTTTCCCTCTCTTGATTAGTTAGTCGAGATCCTACTTTCCTTTTACTTGTATTATACCTTTCTATTTGTATTTCTTCTTTTGAGTTCTTATACTAGGGAAACTATATGATATTTACACATATGTGTCTGGTTTATTTCACTTCCGAGTATATGTTCAAGTGGCATCCACTTCAATATAAAGGCTTCGAATTTATCATTCATTATAGCTGAGTAATATTCCATTGTATAAAAATACCACATCTTTCTCAACCATTCCTCAGGTGACGGGCATCTTGGTTGTTTCCAAGATTTGGCTACCACAAATTGTGCTGCTATAAACATAGGCACACATATACTGATAGCGTTTTCTCAGGTTTCCCTTTGTTAATCTTCATTTTCCATTTAGAATCGGGGATCCTTGACAGCAAGGTCTCCACTGTACTTTTCCTTTTTTTCTCCTTTTCACCAGCACTCCCCACTACCCTGAGTGTCAAGCAGAGGTTCCAGAGCTACTTACTCGCTGATTTATTTAAAATCAGATTGTCCTGCACACTCACAGAATGTGTACTGCCAGAAGAAAACCCAAGGCGCCAGCAGGCTCTGAGAGAGGAGCTGCTGTGATGAGGAGACTGCAGTGAAGTTCGCGCACAGCAGACGTGCTGTGTGCTTTACGTTGTATGAGTATAAAATCCATGTTACATGACTGCTTTAAATTAATAAAAATTAATTTCTCAAGGAAAAAATCATAAAGAAAATCCTCTGTAACTTCATAAAAACTATAACACATGTCAACAGCCCCAAGAGGAAAAGAATGACTTTTTTAGTTTCTATTATTGTGATTAGATTCTATAAGTTATTTTCACTATTGTCCTGGTGAACTGTTTACAAAAAGTAACAGAGGTTTGGGTTGTTGCCATATAATTAGAAGAATAAAATCAAACTCAAACTTTTTAGGGAGCTGGTAAGCCCAATTAGAATAAAAATTAAATTTTATTAGCACTGAAGCTAACACTTAACTATGAATATTTATTATATTATTTATATTAAGCACAACTTTAAAGATTTACATACAGTACACAATAATCCTAGTAATTCTTTTATTATTCCCATTTAATATAAAGGAAAACTAAGCCCCAGGGAAGTCAGGTAACATGCCCAAAGTCACCGAACAGTGATGAAGATGAGATTCAAGCCCAGTCAGTCCAATCCCAGAGTCCATGCTACTAGACACCACTACCCCTGTCCACTGAAGTGCATATGCTTCTCAGAACCAATTCAGGGACTCTCAACAAAAGACAGAAAAACCCAAATAACCCAAATTGGACATAATGCTTACTACTATACTACTATACATCTCTGAATATGGCCTCTCTTTCAGTGTAAATACAACTAATTAAAGAAACAGTTGTGTTTGCAAAAGCAAGCTAATTTTTAGTTTGTACATCCTAACATATGTCTTTGCAGTACTTCACTCAAGCTCAAACACCATGTTTCCAAGGCATCTTCTCAAAATTCAGTATGTTTCCTTTTTCCCTTTTGTTTTTCTACTTCTACCTGTGTGAGGACCAGCTCACCTTAGACTATTTTTGATCATTCTCTAAAAACAAGCTTTTCTCTCCCTGGGGACCCCTAACCCATTCTTCAGGCTAGAAAGAATCCACTCTGTAAAAATTGCCGTAAAAGCTTGGTGTCTAGTGACTCTTGATATTTTCAAAAAAATTCTGTATTTCAGACAGAGAACACTTCAACAGTCCAATTAAACCACTAATTCATGACAGAATTATCAGTGTGAAGCAAAGAACAACAGGGACTTGGGTGTAGAAAGTTATGGCATTCCAGAGTAAAGAGTTTGTTAAGAAATCATTCTAGGGCTGGGGAGATAGCTCAGTAGAATAAGTGCTTGCCTGGTAAGCACAGGGTCCTGAGTTCAATCCCAGGTACCGGAAAAAAAAAAATCATTCTAAACCATAAATAAATAAATTTTAAAAAATGCTTTCTCTCTACCTCTGAACTAGTAGATCTAACATTTAAGGTTAAATCAAATGTAGAAGGTCATCTCCACAAATACTACTGCAACACAGAAGGAGGGACAGATCTCATTTGCACATAGCAATCATTTAAAAGGGAGTTGCTTCTAAACTGGAGACTATCTCATCTTTCATTCTTTTTCTTTTTTTTCTGTATTTTAGGGAAGGGTCTACAGGGTGTTCAGGGCCTCACTACTAGATCGGACTCGTAGTGATCCACCTGTTTACAGCCTCCCAAGAGCTGGGATTATAAGTGCATGTCACCACGCCCAGTCTCAATTGTGTCTCAGTGTGCCCCCAGGGTGGGGTCAGCACGGTGGGCCTGGGGATCGGACCCTGGGGCCCTGTGCCTCCTTGTAGGTGTTTTAATCCACTGAGCTACTTGGCCGGCCTTTGACTTTCATTCTTTTTTGTTTTTAATTTTATTTATTTATGTGTGTGTGTGTGTGTGTGTGTGTGTGTGTGTGGCCAGCTCAGCCCACCAGGGGGACAGGGCTGGCTGGCATGTGGTGCTGGGGGATTGAACCGCGGTCCCTGTGCTTTGCTAGCTTGTTCTAAGTAGGTGCTTTAGACCACTGAGCCATCTCACCAGCCCCTGGCTTTCATTCTTAACAAGATATTCTACATAGTTTAAATGGAAGAAAGGGTGAGACTTAAGTTTTAATGAGGTACTAATTCATTCAATGGACAATTCATACTATTAAATACCCAGGAACTCTAAGGAAAATTTCTTTTTTATTAGCCTTCACTGTGAGCAAAAGAAACGCTTACATATGTTAGGGTTAGCTTGTGGTGGTTGATACGTTGCATCAACTTAGACATCAGAAGCTTGGCTGGATCCATTCTACGCCAGGGGCGTGCGCCCCCACTGCAGGGCAGGGCAGGGCAGGGCAGGGTGGGCCCACCCTAAGTGGATCAGCACAAGAAGGGTTCATAAAGGGGTTGGGGAAAGCTTCTGCGTGCCCCACCTCCGTGGAGGAGCTCTGATCTCCTTCGCAGCACCACCTCCTCGGAGCTTGCGCCCCTTCACAGTGGTGCCCCTTGGGAAGGGAATGACCGCGCAGCACACCACTCCAGCCTTCTCGGTGGAGCTCCTGTCTTCGCAGTCAGCAAGAAAGGAAGGGAGAGTGCTTGGCAGAGGTCGCAGTTGCTGCCCCTTCCCCTGCACTTTGCTGCTTTTTCCCTTCAAGAACGGCTGTCCTCTGCCATGTGCCACCCTGCCCAGGAGCCGGTGGAGTATAAACTGAAACCTCCACAAACTGTGAGCTGAATAAACCTTTCCTTCCTTAATTTTGGGTGTCAGGTGTTTTGCCCCAGCAATGAGTAAAAGGCAACTGAGATATAGCCCAATATTAAATAAATTACACCACTAATCTACTAATCCCCTATATTTGGAACTAGTGCTAAAAAATGAAGAAGCTTATTCTTCAATAACTAGTTCAATGACTGATCTATGCTGGGTGAAGGTGTGGAGTCCTACAGTCATTTTAACCCAGATTTTCAAAAATCTTGTTATACTTTTCAGACACTTGGATACCATTAAACAGATGACATTTTTTATCTTGAGCAAGCACTTATTTACATATCTACCCGGGATTCCCCACCCATGCCAAACTCTTTGTAAAACATCTATCATGAATCCCCCCCACCCCCCATTACATCAGTCACATCTAACATACACACATCTCAGTTGATCAGTTTAGGTTCTATTTAACTAACAAACCCTTATTGATGGTAAGAGCCAGAGTTGAAAGAAATACCCCAGTATGAAAGAAATACTCTCCATAATATTGCTGGGGGGGTCTGATTTTCATATAGAGGTCCTGCCCTGAGGAAGAAACCATCTCTAGGGGAAGGGAAGGAGCCCTTAAATGATGGAAGAGAGTGTGTGTGTGTGTGTGTGTGTGTGTGTGTGTGTGTGTGTTCCTAGCTTCCTGCCAGATTTTCTGAAGAAAATGGAAAGCAGAGTGAGGAAGCATGCCAACTTGAAGATGAGTGGAAAACTGAAATTCCACTTAAAGTAGTAGGTGGCAACGGGGCTGGATCATGACTAAGAAAGAGGATTAAATTAGAAACACATGAAACTTGGAAAAGTTGAAAATCAGAGGCTTTAACAGATAAGAAAATGGTTGTGCTACAAATCTTCTAGAGAGATATGTATTTGTGCACAAAAACAAGGTGATACCATAAGACACCTATGTGTCAGAAATGAAGAGCTGGAAAACATCAGAGACTTCAGGAACTGAGGGATGCAACCCCAAACTCCTCCAACTCATGTGATTCAGTCAGTCATAGTTAACAGCCCTGGAACAGCTTCAGGACATGCTGTGAGCTTAAAAGTAACCAGTCTCAGTACACAAAGGATGGTTCCAACAGTATAAAAATGCATAACATGCATTGGTGCTTAAGCAAATATTTAAATACAGTTGGAACACAAGCATATGGTCTCCAAAGGTAATTACATGATTAAGTGAAATAAGTATATAAGTCTCTATTTAACACTGGATATTAAATGCACAATACTCAAGACAAGTTATTTTATTTTTCTATATGAAAGGTATTTGACGCATTAGGCATTTAAGAATTTAATAAGATTTAAATGTATCATGTACAGATACAAAGTACCCACAATGAATGGAAACATTCTGTGTTATAAATATGAGCTAAGAATAATCATCACAACAAAAATGCAAATGGGGAAAGGGAAATTAGAGATGCAGGAGGGAGGTGGGTGGAAAGTGGCAGGGAAATAATAAACAGTGTGTTATATGCCAGCATCTACTCCCCAAGTTGAATGTAAATTCACATATGCAAATGTTCACTAATAAAGTTTAAATTAAAAAACATGATTCAACATATGTTGTTTCTTCATTTTTTAACATGGTTTCAACCAAATATTCTTGGAATTTAACAGTAATGTTGATTGGAAAAAAGTATCATTAAAATGTGGCTTTGTGGTATTAGCTGTAGATTCAAAGGGCAGTTCTAGATAGAATACACCTTCTTTTAAAAATCAATAAAAGTCAGGTTGTAAACTTTTATAAGGTATCAAAGGATGATTCATGGCAAAGTCAGTATTGGTTATGGATTTTGTATTTTGGAGTATCCCTTGTCTGTGTGTGTTAAAAACAGGTACATTAAGTGTCACTCACCTTAGGGCCTTGTAGTCCTGGCTTCCCTGCTGGGCAGACACAAGGAGCTTCAGTTGACCCTACATCACTGGGACCATTAAGGCACTACAAAGACAAAAGTAGAAAAAACGACAAACATGGAGAGATACTTATACACACACACACACACACACGTACATGTCTCTATGTCTGTATCAAATGGCAAAGAAAGCTTACAGTCACTTTCCAATATTATTTAGTCCAATCTTATAAGAAATTCTAAATCACAAAAATTCTATGGGAAGTAGAGTTCAAACTATATAAAAGTGAATTCTGTGTATCTAATGTACTTACAGCTGGTAAGAAGCCAAGTGGTCCCACAGTGCAAACATTACCTTACAAAGACTAATAGCATCCAAGCCTACCTCTCCATTCTGAAAGAAAAAACAGCATACATGCTTTAATATATGTTTTAATTAATTTCTATATTGTCTTTCTGATTTATAATTATCCTGACAAAAGATATATAAAGGTCAAATCAACAAAGAGCTAAAATATTTGCTTGTAACCATCTTAAAAACTGTGTACCTATGCCAATCATCACTATATCTGTAAAGGATAAAGGAAGGGAACTGATAAAGGTATAACACAGCAGGAAAAATTAAAACATCAATGCTGCCTGATATTAATAGTCATGCAAAAAAAAAAAAAAAAACACCTCAGGGTGACATTCATATGTTCTCTTGAACTGTATAGAAATTATTTTAGAACTACACACACTAGAGAACCCAAAGTCATCTGAACAAGTCACAAAGTGTGCATTAAAATTTTGAGCATTTTACTTTAGAAGAATTTCTCAATTTCTTACTGAATGGCCACACTTTCTTTTAGGTATTTATAATCACTCCAAACAGCAAGTGAGATCAACAAATGGGAGGTAAGGTTAAGAGTAAGGAAGAAGGCAGAAGGCATCTCAAAAGTGGATTAAGAATCCAAAATCTGCATGCTAAAGTTGTGGGAGGTTAATAGTATGTTTGTCAATCAGAGACATCAATAAAATATACACAATTGACTCTCAAACACAATGCTGTTTAGGAGAGATTTATTTTCCGAGTTGTAAGTAATTTAAAAATTATGATAGCTAAATTGCCTTGCTAGAAATCCAAAGAGAATAATTTCTAGAAGGTTGTATGTTTAGTTTACTTTTATCATGGATCCCTTAAATGTGCTATTCTACAGCCTCAATTTTTCTGAGCAAAAAGGTTCATAAATTCTTCACTTTTATGGAAAACAGGATTAGGTTACCTTATTTAGGTAATAAGAACAAAAGAAAAATACTCATTATCGTTTAAGAAAAGTGCTGGTGAGGGCCAGCCAGATAGCTCAGCAGACTAAAGTGCCTGCTTAGGCAGAGCTCTGTGGCTGGGGTCCCTGGCGTGCCATGCTGTCCCTGCCCGCAGGGCGCACTGGCGCACACCTGTAGTCCTAGTGTTTGGGAGGCTAAAAACAGGAGAATCAGGTCCATGCTACACAGTGAGACCCTGTAGACCCTGTACTAAAGACATTTGAGAGAGAGAGAGAGAAAGGTAGGTCGGAAGGTAGGTGCTAGTGAGCAGGCAAATCACTTTTTACTCTTTAAACTATGCACTTTGGGGAGTCCTGTGCTATAGCTATCTAAACACAGAACTGTGTTTCACACACTGATGTGTTCGGACAAAGCCCGATGTCCCGAGCCTGGCTTCTCCTAGCTCCTTTCTGCTTTTCCTTCTCACTTGTACAACGACGCACTGTAATTTTGTTTGCACCTCAAAATACCTTTCTTCCTGTAACTTTATGTTCTCTGTCAATAAAATCAAAATTAACTCTACATATTAAATACGACTTAGGTATATTGGCCCTTCAGTGGTGTGGGATAACTGAAGCAACACCTGAAAGGCACTAATCTGTTCTACTTACGAATCCAGGGATCTCACATGCGGTCTCCCGGTTGTTCTGCTCTGGATCACAGTAGATTCGCAACTTTTGGACATCGAACTAGGAGCAGATAAAGAGTTAAAACTGAGGCCCAAGCTGACTGTTTAGAAATAGCAGATCAGACTTGAAGAATCAGCCACCAAGGCCAGTAATTGTAAGGTCTAGATGGGAGCATTTAGGTAACACAATGAAAATAGAAAATTTGAGTATCTTGCATGTACTGTAAATATAGGATACAATATAACCCCTAAGGAAAAAGTTCCTAGTGCCAAGAATAAATCTCTGATTTCCTTCAAGACGTATGTTTCTCGGTATCCCTGTATTAAGAGCCAATCCAGAGACCGATCTCTTGGACACTTAAAAGCTTTTCCTGGTTTTCTGTGCTTATCCTGTCCCTGCAGTGGTCTGACCACATGCAGTGGGCTCAGGAGGCTATCTTTGACTTTAGAGACTTGGTTATGGGAAAAAATGTGTGCTCAGAGAGTCAGCACCTGACTTAAAAACCATTTAAGTGTTTAATACAGTCTCACACACAGCATCTATATGCGCTGACCAATGTCTAATCACAAATTTAAATGTGACAGAACCTTTTCTTTATGAAAAGTATAAGAGGGACATGTTTTTTCCAGTAAAGGACTTTTTAGAAATGGGTTATACATACACACTCTTCAACCCAAACATAAATATACTCTAACCAAGGATGTTTAAAAAGTCAAAACACAGACGGGGTAAACCGAACTGCATATATTGCAGGTTAATAATTAGCTTCTCTTCTGGAGGGTTAACAACCTAAGTTAGCAGTTCAAAATTGGAGAAAAGGAAGGGCTGCAAGGTTAGCCAACATTTTGGCCCTAGCCTTTCAAGGTCAGTGAAGACTCGGGACATAGGAAAACCTGTACTGTAACAACATGTAACTCAGTTGTGCTCCAAATTTTCTGATGAAGAAGACTATGGATCCACAGAGGAATGTGTTCGATGATGTAAAGTGAGCCTGGGGAGAGTCACATGAAGAGAAAAAAATATTTTCTCAAGCTTTCACAGAGAGTAAATTGGTCAATTTATGGTCAAGCAACAACTGTGACTCATCCTCATGTCTGACACTGACAAAAGGATGTACAAAAGGCGGTACAGGGCTACAAGATAAATCCTGAGAGTACTTGGCTGACCTTATCAGATACAAAAGTTACATTTCTTGTTATATAGGTCTTGCTTTATCTTGGTCTTAACCATCCAGCAGAAAAGTATAAAAATGAGGTATATAAAGTAAATCCATATTAATACGATGAGCTTTAAAAGGCTCAAGTCAATAACTTCTGAGGATAACCCACTAATATTATAGACTGCTAGACAGTGTTGCATTGTTTAGTTGAATTCAAACACCTATAGTATTTAGATGCCAATAGAATATTCACCTCTGACAGGACAAAAAAAAAAGGATACAAAGGAGAGATCATTTTGTATTTATATATACAAAATAGAAGATAGGATAAATTTACAGCTACTTTCACTTAATTCAATGAGAAGAAAGAGGTGTACTAACAGTGTTTGGACAGAATATCCTGTCTGCTTCTTGTACTATGGATAACCACTAAGAAGATAACAATGTACAGTGTATTGATTATCAAAACTGTCCTATTAATCAGCTGTGAAACTGTCTCATTCATATTTATTTCTCAATAATAATAAATAAATAAATAAAAACAAAGGAAAAAATAAAAAGTCAAAACAAAATCTTTTAAAGTATGAGTTGAACAGATCACATTTGTTTTGTTTTTAAATAACAGTTTTATTTGTGAGGAACCCTGGAATGCATTTATCTAATTTTATCCCCACAGCTGCAAAGAGATTTTTATAGCCCTCACTTAGAGTTCTAGCTGTATTCCCTTTTCCAAATTCATTGTTTAAACCATGTTTCTCCTAGGAAATATAAAATTAATATTTCCTAGAATTCTATCCTACATTTTTCTAAGTATTCTTAAGAATGGATTATACTATTATTTTGCATTTGCATAACACAATTTAAACCATGAACTCATTACATTCTGATTAAGTAGCTTAGAGAATTCATAATTAGATTAAATCCACTCAGTGCAGGCAATACTATTACAAAGAGAGCCAAAGTTTCATTCTATCCTAAGCAAAAGTCGATTGTCAATTATCCACCTGAACAGTTTCTTCCTTCCCAAAGTACTTTCCAATTTGTGTTTGCCCACTGACGAAAATCCCTAGTGTTGGATGCAAGGCTTTGGTGCTGATTTCTTGGTCATCAATAAACAGGGCCACGTCTTGTTCTGTTACTAAGAGACGGATTTGATGCCACCCTCCATCAAACAGTGTCTACAGGAAGAAAGCATGAATGATTCATAAGTAAAACCTGTAACAAACTTTCTTTCTTTCTCCTCCCATGCTCCCAACAATGGCAAGAAAAATCTACACCATATATTTCCTCTAATAAATACTAACTCACCTTGATCCAAGCTGGCCTTCTATGCTACCCACCAACCCTTTCATTAGCCCCTACCTGAATTCCTATTACATACCTCAAAGTCAATGTGTCAAACAAATTCTGGAGCAACTTCCCCAGAGTCACAAATGAAATTCGCATCCCTGAATCTAAATGGCTTCTCTTGTTCCTCATCTATCAATTTCGTGGGACTCTGGACCCAGTGACTAACATCCATCTCCTTGCTGTTTCCACTCAACTTCTCAATTTAAGCCACTTTGCTGGTCTCATGTCTTCCTCTGCAATGCGTATCTCTTTGAGGGCTCCTCCCCCAGCTGCCTTCCTACATGAGGGCGTCCCTTACAGGTCAGACCTTACCGTTGCTGTTCTGCCCTTGGACAAGACTGTCCATTACTACAGACCAGTCATTAATTCCCTCTGGTAACTCCCATGTCTGCATCAACTGCCTGTACCTCTGTCCTATACATGGGCCTTGTAATTCTAACACTGGCTAGAATAGATTTGCAAGATATCTCATAATTAGCTTAATATTGTATGCATTCAAATGAACCTGAATTATCCTTTGAACTTTCTTCATCTTATTTCCCTTGGATAACAGTATCTTTGTTATTCTAAAACACACAATTCTTTCTCTGAGTTGTACTAACTAACCAGATGCAAAATCCAATTGAATATGTCCCTAAGCATGATTTTAACTCCCTTTCCCATTTCCATTTTAATGCTATGATTTGGATCAGAGGGTATTTTGCCTTATTTTGAAATGTATTCGTATTTCTGAGCTTCTTATACAACACATCCTTCAGCTATCCACCAGAGTTTTATTACAGGAGATGCCCATTTTAAACTGCTGGAGAAGGTTGAAAGTACTGTTTATGAAGGAGGAAAAGAGAATCAGGGCTGCTTGAACATGAGGTACTTATGATCAAAAGTTCTGGTGGAGCTCTGTGATCCACAGAATAAAGTCCAAGCCAGTCTATGGGGCCTGCCAGGCTCCTCATACCCTGAGCTCATACCTGACAGCCTTGTGAGTGGCGCATGGTACATCCCAAACATATTCTTTAGACAAAACCCCCTCATTTTGCTGCTGCTTAACACTGAATCACCAACCTAATGTGCTGCCACTTTTCCCATCGAGTCTTCCTACACCCTTCAAGGTCCAGCACAAAAGTGACCTCTCTTGGAGAGATTTTTTCACCCTTTGTTCCAGAACACACTTTCCCACCCTGACTCCACTACATTTTGGTCTTTTTAGGCCCCTCATTTGCATATGCATTACCAATGCATATTGACTTTTTTTTCTTAAAGAACTTAGTATCTAATAAAAATAGCAGTCCACAATTTTTTTTTCTTATGGCAGGCTCAGCCCAGCCAGAAGTGGGGCTGGCATGGCATGCGGTGCAAGGGTCAAACTGCAGTTCCTGCATGCTTGTCTGAGCTTGCCTAAGCAGGCAATTTAGACCACTGAGCTATCTCATCAGCCAGACACAATTTTTAATTTAATATTTGAGTGAAAAATTTAATAAATGCCATATATATATAACTATAAGCATTCCCTAAATTATATTAATATACATTTGAATATTATAATGAGCAAAGCTTAATTGTTATCATCACTGAAACTACATTATAAACACAGGACTTACAAAATAAACTTTTAAAAAATTATTGCAATAAATATAAATTTATATTTCTTTTAGAGAATAAATTATAATGAAGGTAAATTCTGTATCATCTATCAGGTATTTAAGATTTTGACAAATATGTCTTTCTACACATGGTGGTAGAAGTCTGGTCAAAGGGGACTTTGAAATCAACAAACTTAAACTCAATTTCTTGTTGTTTCTTCTTTGTTTGTTTGTTTGTTTGTTTGTTTTGTGCAGGGTCTCACTACAGAGCTCAGACTCGTAGTGATCCTCCTGTTTTTCTGCCTCCCTAGTGCTAGAATTACAGACATGCATCACCATGCCCGGACTTTCAATTCAAATTCTGATGTCAACGTTTACGAGCTGTGTTATTTTGAGCTATGTTACTTAACCTTGAACATCGGTTTCTTTGTCCACAAAATGGGAGCGATAACTTCTTAGATGGTTAGTATCATTAAATATTCCTATAACCTAGCAGTAGGCACTCAAAATATGTTAATTTGCCTTGCTTTTTGTCCTAATACTAAGAAACAGATTTACCTTCCTCTGTTGATCTCTTCAACAAGACAATATTAAAACATGAAATCAGTATCATGAAAATATGACATTGTATTAAAATTATAATTCTCTCACCCACCAGACACAAAAAACAATGGTGTTTTTCTGTGATTATAAATAACATTATCATGCTCCAACATTTTTACCTTAACTTGAGGGTCAGAAAATACGGCCACTTGTGAGCCATTGATTATGCTAGTCGTGGTAAATGATAAGGTTTTGTCCACACCACTTAAGGTAACTGCTATTTGTGGCTTTCCATGGGTTGTTAGTATTCTCCACAAATCCCACACTTTCTTGACTTTAAATCTCTGGGTGGAAACAAATACATACGATGGAGGAAGACCTTCTGGGAACACATTGCTAGAAACAGAAGAAGAGGGTGAACCCACAGATATTCAGCAACACTGCAAATATCACATCCATCCATCCATCCATACACACATATGTACATATGCACATGCAAACATACATACACATATGTATATACATACACACAAACATACATACACACACAAACATACATAATACTGTTCGATCCACAGAATGTTACCTTGTCAATTCTGACAGATCAACTTTCGACGTTATTTCATATCCTTTTATGTTCGTTGGTGAAAGTTGGATTCTTTTCTTGACCTTTTTCTTTACACCTAATCCTAGTAGTATGTCAAAGCCTTTCTCATCACGGGCTGCCACAGGAATTCGTGTTGGACAGACAGATTCTATAAAGCAAAATCCATAGAAGTCCATTAATCATGGACTTCTCCAACAAGAAAGGAAAAATCAAGGGAAAAACACTAGAGCTTATAAGAGGGATAATGTCAGTTTCGGAGAGACGGCTCAGTAGAGTAAGTGCTTGCCTGGCAAGTGCAAGGTCCTGAGTTCAATTCCTGGTACAAACAAAGAGATAATACTGATATATGTATCTACATGTATATGAATATACTTTTTGAGAAAATATGGAAGTACTTTAAGTATTTGAGAGTAAAGTCTCTCTTTTTTTTTCTTAAAAGCAGGTAAAAGTAAAATAAAGAGGAAGTTGTGTTGATGGGCTGTTTTAAAGGTAACACTACACTACACTACAGTGCGAAGAAACCCAAGCTACAGAAGACAGGAGAATACAGGACTTATGTTAATTAATCATATGCCAATGGATGCTGCACTTAAATTCCTATAATTAGAAGATGAAATTTAAGATTACTTTCTGTTGCACTCTACTTATTTTATTCTTTTATTTGGTACAGGGTCTCACTGTGCAGCTCAGACTCTTAGTGATCCTCCTGTGTTAGCCTCCACAGTGCTGGGATGACAGGCGTGTGCCACCGTGCCCAGTATTGGTGGCCAGCACAGTATAGAGGCCAGCACTGCGTGGAGGCTGGCATAGCACGTGGTACTGAGGATCAAACTCAGGTCTTTGTGCTTGCCAGGCAGGCACTTAGACCACAGAGCTATCTCCTCAACTTCTGTAGCACTGTAAAGGGCAAAAACTACTTGCTGTTCTTCATAGTCTACAATTTATATTTCTCTAGCTCAAATATCATTGGTTCTATCACTGTAGAGAAAAATAATCTCACATATATTCCTGAAAGCTCTTCAAGTGGCCCATTATTTCATCTATATTGTGTGAATCATATCTATAAATAAGTAAAGAACATTCCCTTAAAATTATTGACATTACATATCACTAGCCTATGAATTATAAATATATAAAATACTTTATATTTTTCTGGGAACCAGTCTCAAATTATGTGGAAGTGTTTTTAGCTGAAATGCCATTGAGGTTTGTTACCTGAGAAATGCTGCAGTGTGTTCGGTCCTCCCAGGTCCCTCAGTGAACACACATGCTAAGCAGGACTGTACACGCTCATGGGACAATGCATAGCACAAAAGAAGTCCACTAAACACACCTCAAGGTAACTGCCTCTGTCACGTTCAGGAAGGGAAGGGTGTCATATGTGTAACATAATAAAAGTAATGGCATGGATTTTACTACCCCACAAAGTAGAGTTACAATTTATAGGACAGATTATTGGAAATACAATGAGACTTGCTGGGAGTAAAAGGAGACAATCCACCCCTGATGGTCATTTCCCTCTTCAGAACTGTAACATGTTGGCATGTTGAGAAGCCTCAATCAGGCACATCCCTGTGTCCAGCATGCTTGGCACTGACCAGCAAGCAGACAGGAGCAGGCACACAAGAGGCCAGTGCAGTCCTGGGAGCAAGTGAGGCTCTACAGGGTGGGGACCCTCAGCCCCACAGTGCACGGCTCAGCCTACATGCCTTCTTCAGGACAGACCTCCCCACTATGCTCACAGCCCACGCAGGGACGCAGGGGCCACACTCACGGATCAGAGGATTAACTTCCTAGGTAAGTGGCAGGATGGAGAGAAGGTGGAAGGGACCTGGAGAAGCAGGCTGACCTCCCTGCATGCTCAGTCAGGACAGGCAGGAACAAGTGTTCTCAGTAACAGCTGCCTGGCTCCAAGCCATAATTCAACAACTAAAACTGAACCCATCTGGTTAGGATTTCTTCTGGCAGGGGTGGGGTGGGGTGAGAAGGGTATAAAGAACAATGCTTATTAAAACTAGAAAAAGAAAAAAAAAAGAAATTCAGTTTAACAGGAAATGTGTTAAATTTGACATTATAACAATGGGATGAACAGCTCAGATTTAGAGAGGAGCCTTGGCTGCAGGCCTGATCCTTGCTTATGTCCCATGAACCTCTGGACCCTCTCCAGGGCCATTAGGTCATAGGTGTGCATAGGGCTTGTGCAGGGACCAGATGTGGCGGTGTCTACGAAGTGCGCTGCAGCTTCACATGGCATGCAGGTCCACAACACAGGATGCTGATCGTCACTGCTCTATAAAAAACCCTTTACACCAGTGCAGTTTCTAAAATGTAACAGGAAGCAGCACTGCAGTTTGTGAAACACAGAGAATAGGTTAATAATCATAAGAAGGCCATGTTTTATCACTACTACAATTTGTCATTAGAGAAAACATACTTAAATAATTTTACAGTATGCATTTCCTGTGGACTATTTTTCCCCAATTTGCTCAGCCATAAGCAGATCGATAAGATCATCACATGAAGAATTAAAAAGCAAATTATGAAGTGCTCAAATAGTTTACACGCTTGCATATTCTTAACTATGAGAAAGAGTTAAAAGGACACTTACTGTGCTTAAATTCTATTTTTATTATGAACAATTTTTATCCATGCTTTAGGAGAAAAAGGTAAACACTTTTACATACCAATAAAATCAAACACTAGTTATGTGAGAACAAATCAACTTCATCAAAAACACACATTGTCTTTCTCATATCTTGACAACAGATATATGAGAAACATACCTGTTTCTCATATCTGTTTGCATCCCAATGTTGTATATTATATCATGTACATAATTTGTCTTTTTCATATTGGGTCAAATATTTATATAAAATGTTGTTTCTTACCATCCAAAAAAAAAAATCAAACACTAGAAGAGACTTGCTTGAGACCTTATATAACACCTACAACTGCTAAGTAGAACAACTTAGACAAATCAAAATAGTTTAAACCAGTCCAGTCAGAAGCAAGATCAAGAGGAAAATTCCCAAGTAGATCCTTAAACTAAATTCCCAAATAGGTCCCTTAAATTCCCAAGTAGATCCCTAAACAGACTCATGTTATAATTTCATTTTATTCAAATATGTTTAGCGACTACTCAGAATAGGAAATATTTGGGGGATGAGTAGAGACTTCCACATTAATTTTAAACACTGAGTTCCAGTAATATTTGTTTTCTGTTATATCTCAGGGCTTAGTGGTAGAAATAATTTGGTATCACTAAAATCATAAGAAATTGTATTTTATTTAAAATGCTTCTATGAGAATAACACAAAACTGAATACATGGGATCCAGACAGACCAGCCAAATACATTCAGCTATAGCTTATTGCCAGTACAATAACAATAGCAAAGCCAAAATAAATAATCCAATATAGTTGCTTAGTAGAGATGATGAATAATGAAGGCATTGCCAAAATCACTCAGTCTATTTTCTCATTACAAACTAATGACCTCACTCTCCTTTACTAGGAAATAATCTTTCTACCTTGAGGTCTAGGACGACTTGGCTGAGCAGCTGTCATGTGAGGAAGATGTCTACCAAATATAGGCATAACAAACAATGGAGGGCAGTACACATAGATTTCTTTTGTAGGGCTGGGGCAGGGGCCTCTCACAGAGCTTTATCTCTAGTTCTTTTTTTAAATTTTTATTTTTAGAGAGAATCTCACCAAGTTGCTGAGGCTGGGCTTGAACTTGTGATCGTCTTGCCTCCACCCCCCACAGTGCTGGAACTGTAGGCATGTGCCATCACTCTTCTCTCATCATAGATCTTTTAAACAACATTTCTTTCAATATAAGGGGAACAATAGGCTCCAAGTAGCCTACAGACCCCAATTTTTATATTTTCTAAGTCATGTCATTCTACTTTTCCTATAATATCCCAAAATAAATTTTCATACATAATACAAAAACACTGTTTCTTTATTGGAAAATATGGCACTATTATCCCTAAAGAAGTAGAAAATATATATTTTTGGATACACTACAAGCCTCTGACAATGCTAACTGCCTTCAATCAGGTTGTATACAAGCCACATAAATCAGATGCCTTCACACAACTCCGAAAGATTATGAGATAGTAACTTATATTGTTTTACCAATTTGGATATTAAATTTTTTATTTTAAAATAATGATGTAATAAGATTTTGTAAAGTTACTCTTTCCTTTGTTTGAATATTATGAAGAAAAGATAACATTTTTTTTTATGTGTTAGCATATGAGTACATAGTATTACTGAATTCCGCGGCCTCATTCTTTACTCCTTTCATTGTTGCTTGAGTTGGCAGAGCTTTATCAGGTATCATGTTGAGTAAATAAAATGCTAAAATGTAAACTCTCCTGAGCTGTAATATATAAAATGTGTTCTTCTAAACCAGACAAATGAGCCCCGTGACTAACATGTCCCTGTGCCTCTACAGCACACTGACCCTCACGTTCCAAAATGTGCTCTGTTGCTAAGTGTGGAGCCACTGCCTTCATCCAGGAGTCTACACCTGCTGACACCTAGGAAGATGCAAAGGTTAGGAGAAACAGTATTTAACTAAGCACTATCTACTATGGAGAGTGGCTCACAGAGAGAAGGCAGAATGGGCATGCAAACAACTTTGGGTAATTTTTTTTTTTTTTTTTTTTTTGTCTTTATGAGACAGGGTTTCTCTATGCTGGTCAGGTTGGCCCTGAACTCACTTTGTGAGCACAGGCTGCACAGGCTGGCCTTGAATTCACAGAAATCATCCTGGCTTGGCCTCCTGGGTGCTGGGGTGACAGGCATGCACCCCCATACCTGGCCTACTTTACATGATTTAATGAAAATATTTACATGTTTATTTCTTTCCCAGCAATGGTTAACTAAATAGCAGCATAGGGGCTGGGGAGATGGCTCAGTAGAATAAGAGCTTCCCTGGCAAGCTGAAGAGCCTGACTTCAATCCTCGGTTCTGCCAAAAATAAATAAGTAAATAAATAAACATCAGCATAGCCACAACTTGATCCAATTATAAACACAGCAAGCTTTACATGATCTAATTTGTATATTTTCTGAATCATATCATAGTAATTCTATTTTTCCTTAGAATATCCAAATATATATATTCAAATTGCACT